TTCCCTTTGCCTTTCCCCTTATGCCGATTCATGCTTGTTTTCTGCTAGGCTGTATTACTTGCCTTGTTCTTTCTTCTTTTGTTTGTCATATGTTTTTGTACCCAATAATTGAAAATTATTAATAGAGCATCATGTTGTTTTTGATCAACATATGAAAGTTGAATTTACACTAATGTTTAAGAGACAATCGAAAATGTTCGAGTGGACAAAGTTCGTTCTTTTGAAGTTGAGTCGATTCTGAAAATTGATAAATTTCACATGGGTGTTGATTTGAAAAATAGGCCAAAACATTCGTGCTTTGTTGACACTAAAGAAAAACGTGGTACTGTATAAGAAACTGAATGAGAAAATTTTTGCCAAGTTAGTGTTAAAGTACTTTTTAGAAAAGAATTAGCATTTTGAAAGCACTTTTTTAAGTAGATCTAACGCTTCTTGGCTTTGACGATTTACTTCTTCGAATCGATCAGGTCAATACATTTTCCTTCATCGTTGATTTATTCGATAGTTTTATCCATGGTTGAAAATCAGCTAAACAAAACCAAGAAAAATCGTAATGATATGTAATACAAGTCATATGATCATATCTATCATGAGTTAACCCGTCTTACTATTCAACTTTATGAGTCAAACATCTCTTTTGATGACAATGAAAACAAATGATTATGTGATTTAGTTTACTCTTTTCGTTTTATTATTGGACATCATATAAACGATTTGAAAACTAAAAAATTCATCCTTTTGTTCTCATTTTTGATGAAACACATATCAGTCATATTTGTCAACCAAATTGTCATCATCGTTGGACAAAAAGAACTTCTTTTTCTGTATCATAATCGAGTTTAATATTACATTCAAGTTTTGAACAATGAAAAGCTTGTTGACTTTGATGAAGGAGACAAGAATTACATATCGATTGTTTTAAGTGTTGATAATTATTAGTAAGCAAACAACCAAGTTTCATTGAAATCTTTATTATCATAACGTATCACACATATTTTCTTACTCTTGTTTATCAGTATCGATGATGATTTTCTAGAAAGAAAACAACTCTTTAATCATTCACTTTCAACATTACGAATCAATATTTGGACGAAAAAGAAAAACAAAGTATAATGTATGAATGAAAACATTAAGTTTTTTTCACACATCTCTTTAATGTAATAGAGTTTCTATAATAAATTTGAACTTAAATACTCAAAACAAAGATGACAAAATATTTTGTAAGAACGCTATATGTTGGCATCATTCTAACTCTTCTGGGTCTGCTTTACGGTGGAAGAAAGCAACTTTCAAAAAGATATATTTTCGTGGTACAGGTCACATTTTTATCAAAAGTCTTTCGCCTGTTTAATATTGCACAACACTATCTCTTTGAATAACAGTAGAAATGCCAAAATAACATGACTGCTGCATTACCTATTAGATTAACCTCGAGGATTATGACAATAGCTTGATATTGACTCAAGAGAAAATAGCATACTCAAGAGAAAGATCAATGAATACAATGTTTCTCTGCAAAAAAAGGATTAAATCAATAGATGAAAGTTTTTATATATCACCTATCCGATAACATGCCTACAACAAACGAATAGTAATAATGTCGTTTCTGTCACGAAAATTTTGTATAAATTATTGTCTTATTCTAGTATAAAGAAGCCGTCATCTACTCACATGAGTTTAACTACAACCATTGATAATATATAACTTTCTATTAATTGAATAGATGACGACGATGTCAGTAGTAACTTGGCTAAAGCAACGTTGGCGTTTACTTTTACTCATTCTAACCCCATTGGTCCTTCTTCCGCTACCTATTATTATCAATAATGCTGTACGTTAATTAGTGTGTGTTGTTCAACCGAAACTATGTCTACATTATTGGTGTTTTTGTTTTATAGCAAGCGCGATGTGGTTATGTTATGATCATTCTCTCTGTGTACTGGATTTCGGAAGCAATACCTTTAGCAGTTACTTCATTATTGCCACTGGTCCTTTTTCCGATGGTAAACAAAACTTGTTGAGCAAAATCTTTATAATATTAAACTGTGAAACAAGATTAAATCATTTTAACTATAATGGAGAACAGCAGTAGACCACATTTCTCGTTCTATAATTCACAATTTACTAAAAATCATGTGCCACAAAAGCAGGATATCTTAATCGGTTTACAATCTTGGCATTATTTTTTTCTAGGCTGGTGTTCTAACTGCAGAGGTCGTGGCACCTCACTATTTCAACGACATCATTGTACTTTTTTTCGGTAGTATGACATTTGATTGTGCTGTCGAAACGGTCAATCTTCATCATCGTATTGCTCTATTAGTATTAGGTTGGATTGGCACAGCAACTATTATAGTTGTTTGTATTGCATGTATAAAAATCCGCCCATTAGTTTCAATTCATCCTTTCATTATATAAGTATCATAAAATACTCTGTTTTGCCAATTGTTACTTCATGTAACCGTGACAATATCTAGGTGTTACGAAAACTAAAAATTTGCAGTCTAGCATAAAAAGCTACTTTTAATAGCTCACTTTGCCCTAATATCGGCAGGAGTAGTCTTAAACGAATTGAGAAGATTTTCAGGTTGCGTTAAATAATGACTTAATTAAAATAAGAAAACATCAAATTTATTAATTCTCGTTAAGAAAATATATCGCTATTGTAGGAAACCACAAAAAACAAAGCGTAGATGCAAATATCCACTTGTGAGTAAACAATGATCGATCAGAAGAATAATCGATTATTATCTTGGTTTTAATTCAATGTAATCGAAAAAGGAGGAATGACAGACTTGACAAAAATCAAAACTAAACCTAAACGATTGGCACTAGCCATCCATGATATCGTACAATTAATCCTATGAGTATATGGTTGATTTCAGCATGAAAACAAGGACGGCCATCATGATCAAATTCATAGAAGTCTCTATGTGGTGCTAAAAATACTGGTAGTCGAATTCCAAATAGAGTCCAGCTATGCACAATAAAATGCAGCTTCCCAGCAGTAGTCACTAAAGCCAGGCCAAAAGTAAATGGTTCGAACTGTTCCATCAACAACCTATCTGAATGGCCAGAACTTTTTGTATGCCAACTAGAAAACGATTTGTCCGCGAAAGTTCGAGTCCACAATTCACCGTTTATCTCGCGCTGAAACACAACTTGAACTGGTACATTTTTTCCTGATTTCGGAAAGCCAACTAACATCGTAATACATCGAGACATGATAATGGTGCCTCGTTCAATTTGAACAACACCTACCACCTTGACAATGTTATTACTGTGTCGCAGCTCGAGTGCCACTTGCCGGCTTTTTACCATCTAATACACGACGAACAATCGCTTCAATTCCCATCGAAGGAATAAACGGACCTGTCTCGCCTTCAGCTAATAGATGTCATAATTGCTTTTGCTTTTGACCGTCTCTATCGCTTCCTTCAATTGCAACAAACATTCAGCTACGGCGCTCGCCCCAGCGTACTACATTCGTTGGCCAATGAAACAATGCTGCAGACGGTATCAAACTAGGAATTAGTCGGTATCGAACCAGCCGTACAAGACCATTGAGAATACGATGTAAAGTTTCTGGAACTGTTCCCTCACCGATCCAAATTGAATCGATATTTGACCACAAATCAGGTAAGATCTTAAGATCAGGTACGTCCACTAATGAAAATTGACGATTGAACAAAGGAAGGTGACCAGATGGACATATCGTGTAACGCATCATCTCTGCAAGTGCATAACTAAATACTGGCTGACTGAGAGTGTGAGTGGGATATGGGTGTGGGCTTGCAGTTCAATCACGCCCACACCCAACATCGACACCCACACACCCTTTGTTAGAATGAAATAATATTTTAAGTTGAAATCAAATTGATAGTGAGCAATAAACATTTTACATAGCATTGAACGCAAAAAAAATATGATGACAAACATCTTATCTCTATGTGCATGTGACATGTTTCAAGTAATTACTCAACGGCGATTATTTTTTAATATAGCCAACAATTGTTTGAGAATATGTAAAAGAGGTTCGATACCGTTCAATTATTATTGAATTCATCGCGATTCATAAGTTCACATCAACCTTAATTCAATTGCGATTTCTTACTGCGTTGAAATTTCTAGTACTATATTTTCAAACTTCTAGGCTTTTTATGTATATCAATCAGTTCCGTACGCTTCTATACCGACACAGATTGGATTCTGCAGATCTCATACACATTTATTGTAAACAGGACAGATCAAAATTTCTATGAGAAAAAGAAGTTGTCGCATACCATTTGTAATTCTATGACATATTTTTTATTTTCTAAAATCATTTTTCGTACGTAAAAAATCGAACATGCAATAGATTAAATTGTTTCATCAAAAGTAACAATCGTCATATATAGAAAGTATTTGGGAAAAAGATGTTTGACTTAATTGTTTATTTTAAAATTTTGTAAACTAGAAATATATGCCAAACTAAATAGAAAAAGATTTGACTAACTAGAACCAATGATTTGTTTTTGAAGAAGATTTTCACTATTCAACTTGAATCTTATTCATTCAAAGATAGAAAGATTATTCAACACACTTTCTTCGACTAATCTCTGCTATTCAATATAAATCAAATGTAATTTATGTTGTTATTTCTCAGTTTGAGTATTTCATTTATCATTGTTGATTTTGTAAAACAAACCAGCAATATGAATCATTGTCTAAACTGAGGGTATGGGTAAGAGAGAGTAACACATCCAAACCCACCATACACCCACACCCACCTCCGAAATTCAAAAATCTCGATATGATAAAATTCCACTGCATATTTCTAACTTTAGTAATTACAATTTTGTTTTATTCATATATTTGACAATTTCGACAATGTGCCAGAAATTTATTATAGTCAAAATCCGCGAGTTTCACACTTTCACCTCTGCAGGAGCCTCTCTGGTAAGTTTTTTTTTTCGTTAAGTATTGACGTTGATGCTGTTTCATTAATTATTAATTATGATATGTCAGTCGCCACTAATTTTAAACCTGATTATGAAACATATCTTCATCGAATAGGCCGTTGCGGTCGTTTCGATAAATTAGGTAAGGTAAAAATATTTGTTGTTTTATTGAAAATTTTGAATTTTGTTTGGTTTTCTTTGAATTCAGGTTATACATTTAATTTAATTGGTTCAGAAAGAGATTTCAATATAATGAAAGATATTGAAGAATATTTTCGGCATCCTATTGATGAAATAATAATTGAAGCTATAAGTAATCTTGAACCAGATCAAGAATGAAAGTTCTGTTTTTCATAGATCTGCATTATTTAATAAAGAGAATCTTTTTTTTTGTTGGCTTTGAAGCAAGATATTGTTTATGTCTCTGTCGTTCATTTTGTTTAAACATGATATTATACATTATCAAACATTGAAAATTCCTCAAGCTATAAAAGTTGATTCTTACATTTCAATAGAGAAACCTACATCAGGTAGCTAAACGATTTGATTTTGATTTATAAATTACTGGTACATGAATTCGAGCATTATTCGACCACGGTCAATCATTATTTCTTTCATTATCATCACGAATAAACAAGTTAGTTTCGTTGAATACATATTCTTTTCATAAAGGATGGGGGACGATTTGTCCACAAATCGACCCTAAATGAAAATCAATTCAGAAATCAGTTCGATCTTGGAAATAATTATTCACCCACACCCACACACAGTAGATGTCAAAAGTCTCGCGACACTTTTTTGTTTTGGCTTGCATTTCCAAAATACACAACATAGATTCAATTTTCTTTTTATCCTCGGCTAGCGAAGCTCAAGTACTATATGTATGCATATATTTGAAATGAATAACTCTGGAATTGGAAACACAGGAATAAAATAAACTTCATTATTGCGACAAAAACTGCCAAAAAAAGAAAAACAAATGGTATGGTTGTTATCAATCTTAGAAGTTCCACTAAGGTTAGACTAATACGAAAATCAAGTAAGATTTTGTTTGATATTTTTACATGAGTCGATAGATCTCGATGAGCTCTACAAAATATTCTATATTAAAATCTTTGAACCCTTTTCTAAAACACAAACATTACAAGAAAATCGTATTTTGACGCTCTTCTGGCATAAAAAATGCTTGACTTTTCGTATAGAACAAATAAAACATGCGATTATTTTGTAATTTTTTGGCGCCTGAAAAGGGTTCTAAAAAATTTTAATATAGACAGTTTTATAGAGCTCGCCAAGATCTATCGGCTCACGTAAAAATATCAAACAAAATCTTAGTCGATTTTCGATTTACTGGCATCTTAGTCAAAACTATAGCAGTCATATCAGTTTGTCTTTTTTATGCAGTTTTTGTCGTAATACTGAAGTTTGTTTGTTTTCTTGTATTTCAGATTCAATGATTACCCATTTCAAACATATGGTACTCGAGCTCCGCTATCCAAAGATAATAAGAAAATTGAATATATGTCCTGTAGTTTTTAAATGTGAACCAAAACAAAAAAGTGGGGCGAGACTTTTGACGTCCACTATATTCACACATACCCACACCCTCAGTTTTGCAAAAAAATCTAGAAAATCTATTATCTGTTATTCTCGATCGCTAAAGTCTGTAATGCAGACTTCTGTTTCCAAGTGTTTGTAATGGAATGGAGAGGAAGGAGGAAGAGCTGCAAAACTCGAACTTAAAACTCGCATTCTCTGTTTTCTTCGAAAATATATATGAGTTTCACAAAAAATATTATAAATTTGAACAAAAAACTAATAACGAGCTTGATTTGGATGAGAAGCTGTTAATGTTGGTAAACTGTTAGCTAAATGACACCGAACATCTGGAATACTTGAATCGAACAAATCTATATAAGATTTTTTAGCAAATGCTAAACTTAAAATATTCAGAAAAATACTTCAAAGGCAGTTTTTTGACTCAAAAATCTATCGAATCCGTTTGTCATAAATTGAAGCTTTTCACACCGAGAAATCATAAGAATTTAGACAGAAGTAAATGACTTGGTTTATTTTCTATCGATTGAAAAAGGTGTATCAGAAACAATTTATACAGTTAAGTCGAAAAATACAAAATCAAAACTGTACTAAGAACGAAAATATAATAGCCCTCGCAACACTTACAGAAAGTTGAAACCAAATTTGCTAATTGTCAAAATATTAAATGTGCATAAGGAATATTCGAAGAGTATTGATGGGCAATGGATTCCCTTATAATGTGTATAGAACGATTCTCAGGATGATGGTCTCTTAGCAATCTGGTAAAAAACTATTGATTTTTTCCTTTGTGGAGTATAGGAAAAGTTCTGATCTTAATACAAAGATTCGATCTGCATGAAGCAAAGATAAATCGTTCGTCCAATCGCAGTAATTCGAAGTGTATGCATGTATAGGACAAACAATAATATAATTTGTTGATTGAAGATGTAGAATTACTTTGTCCTAAGTTGATACAAAATATATTCTTTTACACTTAGAGGTCAAATGTATTAGACTTTCTTCAATATTTATCAATTGTAAACTTAATTTGGGTTTTGCTTTAGCATTTTCTCAGATAAAACGTGTCAAAAGAAAATATTTAAATAAATTTTATCAATTGTTCTCGATTCTTTTTTTTGGTTTATAAAGTGTAACTTTGTGCAGCATAAGGTTCAAGATCCAGTTTTGTTTGATTATTTGATATATCATCTCATTCAACAAGTAATTCTTCTTCAGCTTCTTCTTGTGCTTATTTTTTTCTTTCAGAAGCTGCATTATTTATAATTCATTACTTGATTCAAATAATTCAACAACTATTTGAAATATACTTTTAAAAGAAAAATATTCTTATCATAAAAAAAGAAGACAATCAATCAATCAATAGAAAATTTACTTCGTTTGAATTGAATTGACTCGTGCAATAAGTTCTTGTGCATGATATTTAATAATACAATAAGACAAGACGACAATAATACATTTAATTAATTTTTGTGTTTGAGCTTTTGTTGAATGTTTAAATATAATAATAAATATATTTTTGAAATAATTATTGAAGCATTCAATTGATAAATGAATTATTAATGATTCTAATATAGAAAAACCCATCATGAACATGAATTTTTGAATGAGACTCAAGTCGTTGAAATATTCCAAGAACTGTTAGCCATTAATATTTTTAAAAAAATACTACTATAAATAAATTGAAAACAAACAAAATTTACTAATTTTTCAAGAGCAATTGTTGCATCAGTTTTTTAATATAAGCTTGTAAAAGTCTTGATAAAGCTGGATTATGTCCAGTAGAATTCAAAAATGTTGGTGTAAGTATTGATCCTGATGAATGAGATTCTAATAAGAATCCAATTATTTATAAAACATATGGAACTAATTCTAAATTGAAAACAAAAGACGAGATTCGATTTCATATTCAATAAGAAAAATAATTCTGTACCAGCAACATCATCTGAAAAAATATTGGTATAAATACAATAAAAAAGAATTTGTTCTAATTGATTAAATATACCGAGATTTTGTGTGACACTTGTACGAATTAATACAGTTATAGTTTCAAATAAATAATTATTAAAATTTGATTTATTTGGATTCTATCTGTAATAATAAAGATATATAATCAAATTAATTATTCAATTTTCTTATTTGACTCGATCGTCGTAAAATCATCAGTAATTTTTCCATTAATTGACTTAAATAAAGTAAAACTTCATCTTGCAGTGATGATGATGATAATCTCATTATAGTTCTCATAACATCTTCATTTTCACAAGATTTTTCTGATGTTAAAATTCGAAAGAAACTATCATCGATTGTTTGAGCAAATAAAATTTTAATCCGTTTTTGTTATTCTTTAAAAATAAACAAATATTGACTAAAATAAAATTAAAAAAAACGATGAAATTTTGAATAAAACCAAAACATGTTTAGTATACTATCTTCATTTTAAATTCGGATAAAATATTATTGAAATAATAAAATGCTTAATAAGAAAATAAAATTTTTAACAAACTTTTTATATCTCATCTTGTAATGCAAGTGCTCAGACAAGAAAAATACATGTGATCTTTTTTTAACCAATTTTGCGTTGGGTTTGTAAATATTTCTAAATTAAACATTTCATATTAAAGAAATCACTTTCATTTTCGTAGATATTTAATGCAGATAAAATCAAATTGTATATCTTTCATTTCTCTATGTCTAGTCATCTTTATTATGATGACATGCCATGCTCAAAACCAATCGAAATATTGAAGTTCGAAACAATTGTACCAGTGAAAAAAATATTCTGCATATTCAAGACTAATAATGAACTAAAGACTACTTGTCGGTACTTAGATTTCTACCTGAATGAATAGAAAAGGAAAAATTGAAAACCGTCAGTTAGGTAAAGTTCGATTATTGACTGTAACTCGAAAATTTTCTCCATTATAAAACCAAAACTTTACTTTTTGCATTGTACAAATATATCGATTATAAATAGTAACGATTTGAGATTCAAAAAAGATACAAAGTACTTGAAGAAAATCACAAGCAGCTCGTCATTGTATTACTGAATCTAAATAATAATAATCAGAAGGACCATTTTCATAATAAACAAAAGCAAAGTTGACGTGATTTTTTAATATCTTTTCGAATATATTCTTCTGGATTATTTTCAAATTCTTCCATATTCAATTCTAAATATAATTCAAATAAAAAAACAAAATCTTTTTGAAAACGAAACTTTAATTCAAACCTTGAAGAAATAAATCTCGTAAAATAAGTTGTTCACAAACAATTTTCAATAAGAAGAAGAAAAAAACAAAATTTCGTATTTTATATAGGATTTCATATTAAATATACTTGAGTATTACGATGATAAAAGTTTTTTACAATAATAGTAAAGAATTAAAGGTATTTTTCATTTCAATTGGATCCGATTCCTTTCGTAAAATATATATCATTAATGATTAAAGAAGAAAAAAATAACTTAAAAGAAACGTTCAATTTTTATTGTACTTTAAATAACTCAGTACAAATACTATATCCATACAAAATTTTAGTTCATGGGAGTCTTATGAGAAGATTTAACATTGAAGAATGCTGCTACTATTCGCATAACCTGAGAGAAAAGATCATCTTGTGGGTGTGGGTGTGGGTGGGTGTGGGGTGTGCAGGTGTGGATGTGGGAGTGTGGGTGGGTGGTGTGGTATACGGATGTGGGGAATGGATGTGAATGTGAGGTATTCGTCTGGATACTGGAATCTCTGGTGTTGGATGCTTTTTATTTCCCGCATTCATCCATACCCACACCCAAATCCCATAATAATCCGAAAAATCTCATAATAATCCCAATAATCCCATAAGAATCCAAAAAATCCCAAGAATCCGAATCCGTCTTTTCCCCCTTGATTTATGGCTTTCTCTTTTTCAATTGTAGTTCTATTATTTTTTTTTCCAAAGAGTCTCCGTCATTAATCATGATAAAAAGCATATGTGAAAAGAGCTTGAGAAAGAATAGCTTCAATATCATGCAACTGAAAAGAGTGCTAATATGGCACGTATCAGTAATGCATTTATATTGATGATGCCTATATCTTCTACAAATATGCACAGCAAATCTAATACCCTTTACTTCATATATCATCTAGTATTTATTCTTTTCTGAATCTGTCACGAGATCAAGAACAAAAGAATTCTGTTGATATAACGAATCTTAAATCATCAGATAAGATTTATTCTTAATGATTTCTTACTTTCATCTAAGAATTTCGGTTTGGATATATGTAGAAAAAAAAACTTTTTTTCTGAAACCCTGACGACTAAAGTCTTTTGTCTAAATCTGTTTGAAGTATTGAAGTGTTTATATAAAATAAGATAAGTGGATAGTATTCCAGTTAGCAGGTATTATTTTTGTTTTCGATAAGATTTGGACAAATAATTACTAAATAAAGCTTGAAGCAGTGAAAATCAAAATTATCGAATATTCAATAGCTGCTACATTTGAATTAACCCTTCTTCAGAATTTTCAAAAAGTCTAAAAATGTATTTATTCATTTGCTGATACTCTCTATATAATTCATTGTGAATAAATAGGATATAAATGATAAAATACTAATATTTTATCCTAGCACTGTCCGCTATTAATAAATCTCATATCCTAGTAAATTAGTTAAATAAATTGATTGATGGCGCAAACATTGAAGAGAAAGTAAAAATTCAATATTCTAGTGAGACTTAATGAAAATACGTCTTTGATAAAGCACATTAAATATCAACATTCAGAGACAATCATAGAGAATAACAAGAGAGAAAAAATATAGAAAAACTCTTTCGTTCATTCGTCTGTTGATCGATATATAAGGTCAAAATGATTTACGTGAACTTCTTAATAAATTTCATCTTTTTGAAATTTATTTTGGCAACATCTCAAATCAACCCTTATTATACTGATTGGTTTAGTGATAATGAAAGTATCAATGTTTTACAACACGATTGTTTTCGTGTTCCTGCTTATATGAATGAAAATAACCGAATCAATCGAGAATTACTAACATATTGTATGAGTGAATCGCTAACAAAATATCATATTGAAGTGAACAATTTGTTTCAAAAGTTCACTTTCGCTGAACTTGCCAAACAGAACATAACTAGTCATCAATTATATATATGGTCAGCACCAATTGATATTGCAGAACGTTATCAATTCTATTTAAATCAAATATCAGCATCAAATACAAGTAATCATTCTTCGGATAAAGATACTTTTTATAATTGTACATTTCCAAGATTTGGTTTATCATGTCAATATCAAATAAATATTTTTAATGAAAATTATACATCTTTATATAATATGATTATTAACTATTATGAAAGCAAGTCGACTTTGACTAATATCATTTGTTATACTCATTTAGAATGCAATCGTGGTCCATTTCCAGCTTGTTTAGATTGGAAAGAAATTTGTGATGGTCAAATTGATTGTATGGATAATAAAATAGATGAAGAACATTGCTTAGATATTGAAATACATGTATGTAACGATAATGAATTTCGATGTACGAACGGCCAATGTATACCAATATCGTTTCTTAATGATGATGGTGATATTTCAGATTGTGCTGATCGATCGGACGAGTTTATGAAAGAAATGAAAGTAGGAATACATTTTCAGAATAAACCACCGTTATTTCAAAATGAAGAGCAAAAATCTTTATCGATACCCCTTGGAAATGTTGACTTACCTAGGCGTTCTAGTCTTCTATTTACAGCGATATTTTTGGTCAAAGATAATTCTACATCGAATCAATGTTGGTCAGCATTAAGATCGACAATTGGAGTGCTAGGAATTGAAATACCATTTTTTAATAAAACATGCATGGAACAAGAATGCTATGAAATCATTGACAAGACGTGTCCAGATATATTTTTCTATCCGGATGTTCCACTTTTTTTCCATGATATTCGTTTGGCATTCAACAAGACTGACATTGTATCTCAGAAAATGCGAGATTATAGATCAGCTTATATATGTTATAATAGCTCTTATTATGGTGACTATTCTCCTCTTGGTAACAAGTTTCTTTTCAAAAATGCAACTTGCTATTATCCTGGCTATATGGTTCCTTTTCTGCTTCCATCTCTGACATTGGAAGACTTTTATCTACAACCCTTATATACAGTAATCGGTACGATGAAAGTACACTATCTTATTTATAATTATACTAATGAAATTTGTAATCGATCGAATATGTATCAATGCATTAATTCTTTGAAATGTATCTCAATGGATCATCTGCTCGATGCAATAATAGACTGTCCAAAAGAAGATGACGAAAATATAACGCATATTATTGATTCTCGTTGGACAAATACGTATAAAAATCTTTTCAAATGCGAAATAAATAATCTCTATATTCATCAGTTACTTGTTAAAGATGGACGTTGTCAATGTTTAGTCGACGATACAGCGTCTTGGTGTGAAGATGAAGATGAAGATTATGCTATAGCTCGAAAGAAGCTTTTATTTCAAACTGTTTGTAATGGACCAAATGATCTAATTCCAATAAATATTGATGGGCAAAATAGAACTGACGAAACAGAATGTGAACGATGGCCATGTAACAATATTTATACTCGTTGTGATAGTATTTGGCAATGTTCAAAAGGTGAAGATGAAATCGGTTGTTATTCGTTTTCAACACTAAATTGTTCATCGCGTCATCATTTATGTGTTTCATTCAACACTAATCAATTAGAATGTTTACCGTACGACAAAGTAAATGACAACAACATCGATTGTGTTGGTGGTACTGACGAACCAACAATTTGTCGAAAACAGGTTTTTGCTCATGAAACTAATAATGACATATTTGCATGCAAAAATTCGAGTTCAAATATATGTTTTTCATCATCCAGTCTATGTAATAGTTACTTTGAATGTCAATATGGAGATGACGAATTATTTTGCACCACCGATAGAAATATCTCTCGTAACCGTGCTCTTTGTTGGACAGAAGACATGACTAGACTTTCTCAAGTTGAGCGATTTTTATGTGAAACATTCATCACAAAAAAGAATCCAGTGCTTAAATACTTTTCATTACATGGATCGACTGAATCTAATTCACGTCTTCAAAAAGACAATGTTGCAATATCATCAAGTAACCGTATAGGTCAAGATAACTCTTTGCGGATAATACAAGAAAATCCATGTAATCGTGGTATTCAATTAATTGTTTGGATAGACGAGAAAAAAAAATTATCAAGAACGACCTGCATATGTCCACCTAGTTATTACGGTGATCATTGTCAATATCAAAATCAACGAGTCAGTTTGACCATTCAATGTCAAACTTTATCAGATTCATGGTCCACATTATTTACAATTATTATTTCATTAATCGACCATAGTGAACAAAGAATTATTCATTCATATGAACAATTGACTTATTTATCTGTAAGAGATTGTAAAATTAAATTTAATATTTATTTATTATATTCAAATCGACCAAAATCTCAAATTCAAAATTATTCGATACATATTGATGTCTATGAAAAAGTTTCATTAGATTATCGAGCCAGTTTCTTATATCCAATCAAATTTTTATTTTTACCAGTTCATCGTCAAGCATTGATTATCATTATTCCAGGATTGAAAGAAACGATAAAAAGTTGTTCAAATTTAAAATGTATTCATGGCAAATGTATGATATATTCGTATAGTCAAGGCAATGCTACATTTTGTCAATGTGATCCAGGATGGTCTGGACAGTATTGTACAATCAAGTATGATTGTAAATGTTCATCTGATTCGAAATGTATTGATTTATCGGCTCATAATCGATCTATATGTATCTGTCCAATAAATAAATTTGGCTATCGATGTCTTCTTACTGATCCTATATGTCAAAGAAATGATAATTCAACATGTCTAAATGGTGGTAGATGTATTCCTGTTGATGAATATGTATCATCACAATGAAAATTTTATTGTATTTGTCCAAAAGGTTATATTGGTGAACGATGTGAAATACCTGAGAAGAAAATAATTATTTCATTTGATAAGAATCTTGTTGTATCACAATTAATATTTATTCACTTCTTAGAAGTTATTAAAGATATTACACCAAAAAGATCAACTACTTTAAAAATGATGATTGTTCGACAAAATTCTTTAACAATTTATTGGTCTCAAATATTTCATATGATTTTTATTGAATTTGAAAATAAAATTTATTACTTAGCTGCTATCGAACAAATTTATAATTTATCGATGACACTTGTTACAACAATAAAATCATCCGATCGTTGTCAACATATCAATGAATTATTTAATAAAACATTTGTTCAAATGCATATTATTCGTCGTATTAAATATTATCATTTACCATGTCAACAATATTCGTTGAATCTTTCATGTTTTTATGATGATATTTATTTTTGTTATTGTTACAATCTTGGAAAACAACGTTTAGCAAATTGTTTTGAATTTAATCATACAATGAAATTTGATTGTTATGGTAAAAGTGTTTGTGAAAATGGAGGTCAATGTTTTCAAGATAGTCCAACTTGTCCAACACGATCAATTTGTGTCTGTCAATCATGTTTTTATGGAGCAAGATGTCAATTCAGTACCAATGGATTTGGCTTATCACTTGATGCTATTATAGGTTATTATATTCAACCAAATACTACTATTTTTCATCAATCGATGATTGTTAAAGTTAGTTTAGTTTTAACTATTATTTTTATGATGATAGGATATACTAATGGAATTTTATCTATTATGACATTCAAGGATAAAACGATATGTCAAGTTGGTTGTGGTTTATATTTATTAGATTCATCAATAACAACTTTACTTACAACAACAATGTTTGGATTTAAATTTTGGATACTTCTTCTTGCACAAATGAAAATTATTACAAATCGTTCCTTTTTAAATATTCAATGTTTATCTGTTGATTTTCTCTTACAAGTTTTTCTTAATATGGATCAATGGTTAAATGCTTGTGTTGCTGTTGAACGAGCAATTACAATCATAAAAGCTACTAATTTTCAAAAGAAGAAAAGTAAACAAATGGCTAAATTAATTATAATTATACTTTCAATATTCATTATTTCTACATGTATTTATGATCCAATTCATCGACGTTTAATTGATGATAAAAATGAAGATGATAATAGAATTTGGTGTATTGCTTCTTATACATCTAATTTACAAAAGTTCAATTCTTTTATACATACATTTCATTTTTTAATTCCATTGACTATTAATCTAGTCTCAGTCGTGATTCTCATATTAAAAAAATCTCGTCAACAAGCAAGATTTCAAATTAATCAGAACTACCTAGCAATTATCAAAAAACAGATTCAAGAACATAAACATATAATTATTGCTCCTATTGTATTAGTCATACTTGGAATACCACGTTTAANTGTTGTCTGTAAAACCTCCTAATATTATTTGAGGATGAGTTTTCAGAACACTGAAGTGTGCTTTGTTGAGTTAGTGACGCTGCAATACCGAATAATTATAGTGAAATAGATCACAATATATAAGCAGGAGCGAGTCATCGTTAAATTAATCTGGAATATTCTAAGAACTTGAATTTACAAAAAAGACTTCAAAAACCGGAGAAAAATCGGAACGTCGGAAAGTGGTTGGAAAAAGTTTCAAAAAGCGGAATTTTTCCTGCCATATCGGAAGATCTGGCAACCCTGGCTATAACGCTAGTGATTCTTGTCGAAGCTCTATTTTCTTATCACTTTTTTCGAACATGAATTAAAAAAGGGGTGTGGGTGTGGGTGTGGGGTGTGGGGTGTGGGGTGTGGGTGTGGGTGTGGGTGGTGTGGGTGATCGTCTTTTTTTCAATCACACACACACCTCACACCCACATTCACACCCACACCCTCTCTATATAAATATACAGATTAGTCGATTAATTGTTCTACTCGAGAGTAAAATAGATTGATTTTTTTTCGAAAATTAAATAGAGATAAACATAATATTTATTGAATTTGAACAGGCATATTTCCAGTTCCAGCGCTGTGCAGAGTTATAAATTATTGTCGAAAGAAGTCAAATTCTCGCTAGTAGATATTTGTGTAGTGTTTGATGTAATATAAATGTAGCCGTTCGTTTCAAACTCATAATTGTGGATGTGAAGAACGCGATGTAAATGAAAGGCAAGAAAACATTTGTATTGGATTGTTTTTGTTTTTTAAACTGTGAAGAAAGAATATAAAGTATTTATGGCTTTCTCTTTTCCAATTGTAGTTCTATTATTTCTTTTTCCAAAGAGTCTCCGTCATTAATCATGATAAAAACCATGTCTAACTAGAGCTTGCGAAAGAACAGCTTCAATACCATGCAACTGAAAAGAGTGCTAAAATGGCACGCATCAGTAATGCATGTATATTGATGATGCCCATATCTTCTACAAATATACATAACAAATCTAATAACCTTTACTTCATATATCATCTAGTATTTATTATTACTGTCAGGATCTAACACGAGATCAAGAAAACAAAAGAATTCTGTTGATATAACGAATCTTAAATCATCAGACAAGAATTATTCTTAATGATTTCTTACTTTCATCTAAGAATTTCGGATTGGATATATATACAAAACAAACTTTTTTTGTTTCTGAAATCCTGACGACTAAAGTCTTTTGTCTAAATCTGTTTGAAGTAGTGAAATACTTATATAAAACAAGATAAATGTATAGTATTCCAGTTAGCAGGTATTATTTTTGTTTTCCCTAAGATTTACACAAATAATTACTAAATAAAGCTTGAAGCAGTGAAAATCAAAATTATCGAATATTCAATAGCTGCTACATCTGAATTAACCCTTCTTCAGAATTTTTGAAAAGTCTATAAAAGCATTTATTCATTTGCTGATACTCTCTATATAATTCATTGTGAATAAATATGACAGCAATGATAAAATACTAATATTATGTTCTAGCACCGTCCTCTATTAATAAATCTCATATCCCAGTAAATTAGTTAAATGAATTGATTGATGCTGCAAACATTGAAGAGGAAGTAAATATTCAATATTCTAGTGAGACTTAATAAAAATACGTCTTTGATAAAGTAAATTAAATATCAACATTCAGAGAAAATTATAGAGAATAACAAGAGAGAAAAAATATAGAAAAACTCTTTCTTTCATTCGTCTGTTGATCGATGTTTAAGGTCAAAATGATTTGCGTAAACTTCTTAATAAATTTCATTTTTTTGAAATTTATTTTGGCAACATCTCAAATTAATCTTTATTATACTGATTGGTTTAGTATTAATGAAAGTATCAATGTATTACAACACGATTGTTTTCGTGTTCCTGCTTATATCAATGAAGATGATCGAATCAATCGAGAATTAATAACATATTGTATGAGTGAATCGCTAACAAAATATCATATTGAAGTGAATGATCAGTTTCAAAAATTTAATTTCGCTGAACTTGCCAAACGGAACATAACTAGTTATCAATTATATATATGGTCAGCACCAATTGATATTACAGAACGTTATCAGCTCTATTTAAATCAAATATCAGCATCAAATACAAGCAATTATTCTTCGAATAAAGATTATTTTTATAATTGTACATTTCCAAGATTTGGTTTATCATGTCAGTATCAAATAAATATTTTTAATGAAAATTATACATCTTTATATAATATGATTATTAACTATTATGAAAGCAAGTCGACTTTGACTAATATCATTTGTTATACTCATTTAGAATGTAATCGTGGTCCATATCCAGCTTGTTTAGATTGGAAAGAAATTTGTGATGGTCAAATTGATTGTATTGATAATAAAATCGATGAAGAACATTGTTTAGATATTGAAATAGATGTATGCAGTGATAATGAATTTCGATGTACAAATGGTCAATGTATACCAATATCGTTTCTTAATGATGATGGTGATATTTCAGATTGTGCTGATCGATCGGACGAGTTTATGAAAGAAATGAAAGTAGCAATACATTTTCAGAAGAAACCACCATTATTTCAAAATGAAGAGCAGAAATCTTTATCGGTACCTCTTGGAAATGTTGACTTACCTAGACGTTTTAGTCTTCTATTTACAGCGATATCTTTGGTCAAAGATAATTCTACATCGAATCAATGTTGGTCAGCGTTAAGATCGACAATTGTAGAGCTAGGATTTGAAATACTATTTTTTAATAAAACATGCATGGAACAAGAATGCTATGAAATCATTGACAAGACGTGTCCAGATATGTTTTTCTTTCCGGATGCTCCACTTTTTTTCCATGATATTCGTTTGGCATTTAAAAAGACTGACATTGTATCTCAGAAAATGCAATATTTTAGATCAGCTTATATATGTTATAACAGCTCTTATTATGGTAACTATTCTCCTCTTGGTAACAAGTTTCTTTTCAAAAATGCAACTTGCTATTATCCTGGCTATACGTTTCGTTTACTGCCTCCACCTCTGACATTGGAAGACTTTTATCTACAACCCTTATATATACTAATCGGTACGATGAAAGTGCACTATCTTATTTATAATTATACGAATGAAATTTGTAATCGATCGAATATGTATCAATGCATTAATTCTTTGAAATGTATCTCAATGGATCGTCTGCTTGATACAATAATAGATTGTCCAAAAGAAGATGACGAAAATATAACGCATATTATTGACTCTGGTTGGACAAATAAGTATAAAAATCTTTTCAAATGCGAAATAAATAATGTCTATATTCATCAGTTACTTGTTAAAGATGGACATTGTGAATGTTCAGTCTACGATACAGCGAGTTGGTGTGAAGATGAGAATGAAGATTATGCTATAATTCGAAAGAAACTTTTGTTTCAAACTGTTTGTAATGGACTAAATGATTTAATTCCAATAAATATTGATGGGCAAAATAGAACTGATGAAACAGAATGTGAACGATGGCCATGTAACAATATTTATACTCGTTGTGATAAAATTTGGCAATGTTCAAAAGGTGAAGATGAAATCGGTTGTTATTCGTTTTCAACACTGAATTGTTCATTGAATCATCACTTATGTGTTTCATTCAACACCAATCAATTCGAATGTTTACCGTTCGAAAAAGCAAATGACAACAATATCGATTGTGTTGGTGGCACTGACGAACCAACAATTTGTCAAAAACAGGTTTTTGCTCATGGAACTAATTATGACATATTTGCATGCAAAAATTCGAGTTCAAATGTATGTTTTTCATCATCCAGTCTATGTGATAGTTACTTCGATTGTCAATACGGAGATGACGAATTATTTTGCACCACCGGTGAAGATATCTCTCTTAACCGTGCTCTTTGTAGGATAGAAGACAGGACTAGACTTTCTCAAGTCGAGCAATTTTTATGCGAAACATTCATCGTGAAACAGAAACCAGTACTTAAATACTTTTCATTACATGGATCAACTGAATCTAACTCACATATTCAAACAGATAATGTAGCAACATTATTAAGTAACCATAGAGTTCAAGATAACTCCTTGCGGATGATACAAGAAAATCTATGTAATCGTGGTATTCAATTAATTGTTTGGTTAGATGAGAAAAAAAATTTATCAAGAACGACTTGCATATGTCCACCTAGTTATTACGGTGATCATTGTCAATATCAAAATCAACGAGTCAGTTTGACCATTCAATTTCAAACTTTATCAGATTCTTGGTCAACATTATTTGCAATTGTTATTTCATTAATCGACAATAGTGAACAAAGAATTATTCATTCATATGAACAATTGACTTATTTATCTGTAAGAGATTGTAAAATTAAATTTAATATTTATTTATTATATTCAAATCGACCAAAATCTCAAATTCAGAATTATTCAATACATATTGATGTTTATGAAAAAGTTTCATTAGATTATCGAGCCAGTTTCTTCTATCCAATCAAATTTTTATTTTTACCAGTTCATCATCAAGCATTGATTACCATTATTTCAGGATTGAAAGAAACGATAAAAAGTTGTTCGAATTTAAAATGTATTCATGGTAAATGTTTGATTTATTCGAATAGTCAGGACAATGCTACATTTTGTCAGTGTGATCCAGGATGGTCCGGACAGTATTGTACAATAAAGTATGATTATAAATGCTCATCTGATTCAAAATGTATTGGTTTATCGGCTCATAATCGATCTATATGTATCTGTCCAATAAATAAATTTGGCTATCAATGTCTTCTTACTGATCCTGTATGTCAAAGAAATAATAATTCAACATGTCTGAATGGTGGTAGATGTATTCCTGTTGATGAATATGTATCATCACAACGAAAATTTTACTGCATTTGTCCAAAAGGTTACATTGGTGAACGATGTGAAATACCTGAGAAGAAAATAATTATTTCATTAGAAAAAAATCTTGCTGTATCAGAATTAATATTTATTCATTTCTTAGAAGTTATTAAAGATATTACACCAAGAAGATCAACTACTTTAAAAATGATGATTGTTCGACAAGATTCATTAACAATTTATTGGTCTCAAATATTTCATATGACTTTTATTGAATTTGAAAAAAAAGTTTATTATTTAGCTGCTATTGAACAAATTTATAATTCATCAACAACACTTGTTACAACAATTAAATCATCTGATCGTTGTCAACATATTACTGAATTATTTGATAAAACATTTGTTAAAATGCATATTATTCGTCGTATTAAATATTATCATATACCATGTCAACAATATTCATCTAATCTTTCATGTTTTTATGATGATATTTATTTTTGTTATTGTTATAATCTAGGAACACAACGTTTAGCAAATTGTTTTGAATTTAATCATACAATGAAATTTGATTGTTTTGGTAAAAGTGTTTGTGAAAATGGTGGTCAATGTTTTCAAGATAGTCTAACTTGTCCAAAACGATCAACTTGTGTTTGTCAATCATGTTTTTATGGAGCAAGATGTCAATTCAATACAAATGGATTTGGCTTATCACTTGATGCTATTATAGGTTATTATATTCAACCAAATACTTCGATTATACATCAAACGACGATTGTGCAAGTTAGTTTAGCTTTAACTATTATATTTATGATAATAGGATATATCAATGGAATTTTATCTGTGATGACATTTAGTGATAAAACAATATGTGAAGTTGGTTGTGGTTTATATTTATTAGGTTCATCAATAACAACATTACTTACAACAACAATGTTTATATTTAAATTTTGGATACTTCTTCTTTCACAAATGAAACTTATTACAAATCGTTCATTTTTACATATTCAATGTTTATCTGTTGATTTTCTCTTACGAATTTTTCTTAATATGGATCAATGGTTAAATGCTTGTGTTGCTATTGAACGAGCAATTACAATTCTAAAAGCTACGAATTTTCAAAAGAAGAAAAGTAAACAAATGGCTAAATTAATTATAATTATTCTTTTAATTTTTATTATTTCTACATGTATTTATGATCCAATTTATCGACGTTTAATTGATGATGAAAATGAAGATGAGAATAGAATTTGGTGTATTGCTTCTTATACATCTGATTTGCAAAAGTTCAATTCTTTCATACATACATTTCATTTTTTAATTCCATTGACTATTAATCTAGTCTCAGTCGTGATTCTCATATTAAAAAAATCTCGTCAACAAGCAAGATTTCAAATTAATCAGAACTACCTAGCAATTATCAAAAAACAGATTCAAGAACATAAACATATAATTATTGCTCCTATTGTATTAGTCATACTTGGAATACCACGTTTAATCATACCATTTCTATCAAAATGTATGAATTCAACTGATGATGCGACATTATATCTTACTGGTTATTTTATTTCATTCATTTCACCAATGCTTACATTTATCATGTTTGTACTTCCATCGAAATTTTACAGACAAAAACTTGGTAACACCTTCACACGTTTTAAGACAAAACTACAGCAGACTTTCTGATTTTTCATAAAGGTAAAAAGTAAATTACTGTGTGTAGAAAAGAAAGATATTCTTGAAAGCAGAAAATAAAACTTTCTTTTATGAAATTCAATCTTTCTCATGTGCAACGTATATTAAACATTCTTTTTTAGAATTATTCATTCATCTATCATGTAGTAGTAATCTTATGGCAACGCATCAACTTTCAACATCACATGATTATTCTAAATATGGTTTGTTTTTCTTGTATTGTAAAATTGTTGTTTTGCTTATTTCAAATCTTATGATATAAAGATCAAATGATTCTTTTTTTTTCATTGTATATGCCAGCTGTTTTTACTTATCATCTATAAAATAAAACAGGAAAAACCTTATCCTATCAAATTATGTTGCAGTAAAGGAGGGAGGAACGATATCATTCGGATATTAAGTTATACATTTTCTTTTCTACAACATTACACTGCTGTCGACCATCTTTGAGAATAATATCCAACAAACCTGTCTTTTTATCTTATTTATAGTATATTCCGATGAAGAGTGATATAATGATACCCAAGTGATTTTCACTGAAATAACATATGAGAATGTCATTTCTTCAACATGGATAGATCTTCTTGAGAGCCTCGACGTAATGCAAGGGATGTGAGTGGGATTTTAGATAAAATTGCAGATAACCACAAACAACCACACCCTCCATCAAACAAACCATATTAATTTCATCCTAATAGTTGACTTAGATGTATTCAACAAAAAATGAATACAGTATTTGTCGAAACATTATCTTAAAGAGTTTCCATCATTTTGTTCTATGTGCATAGTCAGAGATAAAATATTTAAAAAAACAATGCGGAAGTTTTATTGACACAGATTTACCTGCATCACACTGAGCTGAATGATCTGAAAAGATGTTTTGCTAGGATAGAAATATCAAAGAATAGAAGCAATGCACGGAAAAAATAAAGAATGTAAATAGAGAGTCTTATCAATAGCTGATTAGACGCGATGTGGGGTGGGTGTAAATTTGGGTCATAAACTCACATCCTCGCCGTTAAAGTATTTTTAGAAAATTGTTCCCTCATGGAAAGTATGGTTGAATTTTTTGAGACAAATGAAAGTCGCCAGAGGTATTTGGGATACATATAATTCTGCACAGGTTTTAGTGCTGAGTGCGAATCTGATATCAACTTTTACCTACAGCAGAACTTTTATAGCATTTGAAAAGCACTATCAAATGAGCTGTATCAGATTTTGGGTTCTTTTAGTTCGTTCGATAAAACATTTGTTGGCAAATGAAAGTAAGAAATATAGGCCACTTATCAAAAGTGTCTAATGATATGTCCGATCTTGTTTCTGATTGAGTCGAACAAGAAACTATTAATTCTTATATAGGACTCGAACCTATGAAGTGGCAATTAGATACTTAATTTTATGGTCATTTTTTATTGTCAATCTACACCAAAATTTAATCGACCATAGATACGATCGATTATAAAATTAATGACTAAAAATGACTTGATGGGGGGTGGGGGTGGGTGTGGGGGTGGGTGGGGGTGGGGGGGGGTGCGGGTGTGGGGTATGAGTGTGAAAGGAAAAGGAACACACTCACACCCACCCACACCCACACCCCACACCCACACCCAAGCCCACACACCCACACCCACACCCGCACCCACCCACACCCACACCTACACCCTCATGTTAGACATTGGTATCAATTTCATATAGGTGTCATGTATACGGTTTTGTGGAACTCACATATATTTTCAAACAAAAATGTTAAATATAAGTTCCAATAGCGTGTCTATTCGGCTCCGCCTCTTTATTACAGACCATAATGGCCAAGATTAAAAATAGGATATATATCACAAAGTTATTTATGATTTGAATCCATGTTTACAATAATAAATGTGTTAGATTTTTTAAAGGATTGCAAAATGAAAAATGATGAATATGTAAAGTAAGAAAAGTGAAACATAGGACACCCAAAACAAAAGACAAATTAAACTTCTTATTTTGAAATAGAGAGCTAAAGAGTGTTTATAACTGACTATTGATCATCAACAGAAACAATAATACACTTTTACGATGCTTAGTATGATTATAATGGAACTGAAGAAATTTTGTGACTTTCATAATTCAGTTCCAATGAGGTTATGCCAACAAGTGTTTTTTAAATAATGTTTTCATATTCAAACGATTCTAATAATTTACTTACCAGAGTCAAATAAATTATGTCAACTGAATCTCGAAAAGCTTCACAACGCTTTACTATTTAATTTCTTATCGAAACCCAGCTTTTTATATCAAGAAAATGATAACATTTTGCGTCTGTTATCTTCTTTTTTCGTTTTATGTTAGTCCTATAAAAATAAGAAAGTTGCTGAATTTGGTCTCACTTATCAAAAATACATATTAAAGGCGAACAACACGCGATGAAAAACTACAAACAAGGGAAAAAAGCCCGCGTAGCTGTGGATAGGACTGCTAGTGCCATGTTCCCTTCTAAAGTATGGTTACGACGTGGGTGTGAATGTGTGAAATTTTTTATTGTATTCACCCCTAAATATCTAATGGGGTGAAGGTGAGGGTCAGATAATGAAAGAATTCAATGCTAATAGCATCCAAAAAAAAAGAAAAAAAATTTACACAGAAAAGTAAATATAGGGGTGAATTTTGACGTCAAAATTTTACACCCATATTTCTGGAGAGATACACGAGTAATCGGAATTGAATTTTCGATGCTAAATTCTATAAAAAAGAATTTCACTCCCTTTATCCCCAGAATCTCTCAGAAATAAGGGGATAAGTATTTCTACAAATATGAGTTTCGAAAACTTTATTCCCATGAGTTTTCTGGGTGGGGTATGGGTGTGAGGTGTGGGGTAAGGGTATGGGTATGGGTAAAGAAAACCCACACCCCACCCACACCCACCCGCACCCACATCCACACATCCCTCAGTCAAAAAAAGTCGTAGAAGTCTACAAATTTTTTCATAACCCTACTTTTCTATAAAGAATCGATTGATGAAAAAAATACGCATGTCAAAAATTTGCATAAAATGAACATTCTCGATGGGCTCATAGAGTCTCTCTTAATTTCTCGATATTGTTGTTCTTTGACTAATGTCAATGTAAAAAAAACAACAATAATAATTAATATAAGTGATAAAATAAAAGTAAAGTATACTCGATTGATTACTTCCAATAATTGATCGATTTTCTGTCAAAAAAATTCAATTTGATTCAAATATTCAGAACGCATTCGAATATCTCGTTCTTCTTGAATTTCTAATTCATTTGGTTTTTTTAACCTTAAATATTAACAAAATATTTTTCTTCTTTAATAAAACAAAAATTTCATATCTGTCCAACTTAAAAATCTTTTAAACATAAATGAAAATATTTCTGGAGTATCATTTATATTTTGTTGAGCAAGACAAAAATTATCATTGATGATCGATAGAGATATACTCATATAAACAAACTAAAACAAAATGATCTTAAAAACATTTCAGCTTCATTTAATTGATGTGAGTCCAATTTTAATAATATCATTTTAAATAATATTTGTGTTGTAGTTAATAAACTTGAACATGATGAAATTTTTTGAAACAAATCATAAATAAAATAAACAAAGAGATGACAAAAAATACAATTAAAAGCATCAATGAGAACGAACCAAATTAATTTATTCGTTTGGATTCTTGATAATGCTAAATATCAATTGGAACACTTGATCATAAACAAATTATTATACCAACTTCAGTGAATGACCAAATTTGTCGAAAATAATTCAATTTTAAATGATAAAATAAGCGAATTTCTATAATCATGAAATAACTAATGAAGAATATGTAAAATATTGTACAAATCAATTGAGGTATTGATGTAAATACTACAAAAAAAGTATAAAACATTATTTTCAGTCTGACAGAAAAAGAGACTCAGCAAAATATCATAAAAATTCTATTAAAATTTAATTGACTTATTATTGCTCGGTTTATCATCAAGGCATTCTAGTTTACCACCTCGAAATTCAATATATATACAACCACCACTGATATACCTTTGAATAATCTTTATTAATTTGTCTTGAATTAAAAAATATTTTCGTAAATCTTTAACTTGAAAATATGAATTAATATGACGATTTGAATAAACAATAACAAAATGAAGATATAGAAAATGTTTAAGCTTACTCGTGTATATTTGATCACATTTGAATTTCATTAAGACGTTCGTATCGAGCACAAACTATTTCACATTCATTTAAACAATTTGCATGATTTTGAGATTTATCCTATAGGTATTCATTGATTTAAACACTATTTTTTATTGAAAAAATAATCAAACTTTTAGCAATGCTCACTGTACATGAATTAGAAAATCAAAGAATTTCTATAGAATTCCACATAAGCTTATAATTTAGGGTAATTACAGACCGAAGAAATTCAAATAAATCTGACAAAAAAAACGAATAGAATTATATTGAATTATTACATTTGTTGGATTTACTTGAATTCCTTGACTTCCAACACAGTCCAGACGCTTAGCAGGAGCACGTCCTCTTGTGGACATAGTGAAATGAAATTCTGGGGAATCGCTAGATTTGTTCGAATTTGTTCGTTACGTAGAATTCTATAGAACTGTCAATTTCTGGATCAGTGGTAAATGTCATTATAGTTATTTAACCCATTGGCCCTAATGGGTCATAGCTGTCACTCTTAAACAAGTCCTGAACTTGACGTCTGCGTACTCCGACATTGCCACCATCGAATATTGAAAAGACAGCCGAATCCATAAGCAATTTGTCGAATCCATATTTCTTGCTGTAAGAATCAACGCCAATCACTCGCATTCCATCATAAACCACTTGGACACAATGGTCAGCTGCGAAGATCTTGGCAAGATAACAAAGTTCTCCATTGCCAGTCGTTTCGAAAAGGTGCAGCGCCTTCCACGTTAAATATCTTGATGCTTCCAAGATCGCTTTCATCGAAATAAGAATGTCGCTCACACTCTGATGACTGATTATAAACGTATCTCCTCCACGCTTCTCCGTCCGTGCAAATGTTAATGCTTTCTCGAATGCTGTACGCATAACACCAGTGCAAAAAGAGCCAACAAGACCAGCCGTGATAGTAAAAACTGTTTCAACTATTTTGATGCCATCTTGATCGAGTCGATTCCAAAGAGGTACTCGAAGATTAGTGAACTTTATATGCGGTCCGGAAACAGCACAATGTCCGACGGTTTCGATATCTTCGATGATCGTGTACGCTCCATGTGCGTTGTTCTTTATATCTTCTGATGTGACGGAAATGACGGCAAAGGATTCTTTGATCTTCACCACGACACACTGTAAATCCGCACCTGTATAATCCCAGCCAGCACAGTTCGTAGCCCATTTCTTCTCGCCATTCAAAACATAATGTTCTCCATCCAAATGGGCAGTAGTGAATGTTGTAGAAGNATCAAAAAACAGATTCAAGAACATAAACATATAATTATTGCTCCTATTGTATTAGTCATACTTGGAATACCACGTTTAATCATACCATTTCTATCAAAATGTATGAATTCAACTGATGATGCGACATTATATCTTACTGGTTATTTTATTTCATTCATTTCACCAATGCTTACATTTATCATTTTTGTACTGCCATCGAAATTTTATAAAGAAAAACTTGGTCACACTTTCGTCCATATTAAGACAAAACTACAGCAGATTTTGACTGGTTTTTCTACAAAGGTAAAAAGTTAATTACTGTGTAGAATAGAGAGAGATATTCTTGGAAACAAAAAAAAAAATTTCAGTCGAATACATTAATATAAAATCGATAGATCTGTACTTCATTTGTAATATGAAATTGAAAATCAATGATCGATTTATTTCCTTATGGAAAATAAAACCTTCTTTTATGAAATTCAGTCTTTGTCATGTGCGACGTATATTAAGTTTTCTTTTTTAAAATCATTCATTCATCTGTCACATGGTAATCTTATGGCAATTCATCAACTTTCAATATGACATGATTATTCTAAATATTATTTGTTTTTCTTGTAGTGTAAAAGTGTTGTTTTGCTTATTTTAAGTCTTATGATACAAAGACTGAACGATTCTTTTTCTTCATTGTATGTATCGGTTATTTTTGCTTATCATCTATAAAATAAAACAGGAAAAAACTTTTCTCACTAAATCATATTGCAGTAACAGTTTCTCCATGAAGCGGCTCTAAACAACGTTTTTAATAGAAATCTGAAACAAAGTATATGTAGACACTTCGTTTCAGTTAACAAAATATCCGTTTGTGCTTTGTTAATTAGAAGAAAGTACTTCAAAATATCACAGTAATGAACTGATTTAAGAAAAACAAAAACAAAGTTATTACTAATCAATCTTTTAATGAAAAATATATTCCTATATAAATATATATAATAACAAAACGGAAAACATATTCATTTAATCAACTTTAGGAAATACTTCTCTGATTTATCTTTTACTATCATATGTACGAGATGTCCAAAAAGTCCTTCGAGAAAGTAAATTCTTATAAATTGTTTAATTTATCAAAACAAATCATTTGTCTTTTTTTCGAATGATTGCCATTATCTAGAAGTTTTTATTCATACGAACCAACTTTACAAAAAACGTTAAAAGATATTACTTTTGACTGAAATATAGAAAATACGTTTTTGTAAATTTCACTGGAAAAAGTGTGTATCGATGATTTTTTCGATCATTTCAATTTTTGTGATATTCTACACTTTCAATGGTTTAGGCTCTTTTTATAGTAATGTTTTTGGATATTCTCATAAAAAGAAATCTAATATTGATGTTCGCTAATATACCACAAAAAATATCTTCATAAAAACTACTCTAAACATTTGAAAGCGTAAAAACGTTGCAAAAATTGAAATGATCGAAAAAACCATCGATACACACTTTGTCAGTGAAATTTGCAAAAATGTATTTTCTGTATTTTAGTCAAAAGTGGTATCTTTTCACGTCTTTGTAAAGTTAGTCTGTATAAATAAAAGCTTCTAGGTGATGTCTATCAGACGAAAAAAAAGACAATTGATTTTTTTTGACAAATAAAGAAGTCATAAGAATTTACTTTTTCGCGAAACTTTTGGGACATCTTGTATAGATCAGATAGAGACTAAAAAATAATATAGATTGAATACATACTAAATAATCAATAGTATACGATGCAAGAATGAAATGAAAATATCTATAAAAAAAAAGAAGATTCAAAATCTGAAAAGAAAATAAGAAAGTTCACTTATGAATTTGATAGAATTAGAAGAAAAAATACTGTTCAGTTTCATCTACAATTAGAATACATAACCAAGAAGAAAGCGAGAAGCTTTTATATAATGGTGAAATAAATAAGTAAAGTGCTGCTTTTAATTTGCAAAGTATCATCGATGTACTTTGTTTTTTTTGGCATAGTACAAATCACAGTGCTTTTTCAAAATCGTAAGTACCTCGGGTATTTTGCTTTTGCTTAAGATACTTTATATTAAAAACACTGGCTCTAAATAATAATTATCATTAATATCATTCGGATATCAAGTTCTATGTTTTTTTCTACAACATTACATTGCTCTTGACCATATTTGAGAATACATCCAACAAACTTCTCTTTTTGCCTTTATTTATAACATATTTCGATTAAAAGTGATATAATGACACCTAGGTGATTTCCACTGAAACAATATATGAAAGCGCCGTTTCTTCAGCATAGACAGATCTTTCCGAGAGCTGCAACGTAATGCAAGAGATGTGTGTGATTTTGGATAAATTGCAGATTAACACAAACATCCACACCCACACTCCTCGATGAAAAAATTAGCTTCTTTGTTCAAGCTCTTAATGGAGATATTCAATTTTTAGTTCGGTTGCGTTACTTATGGGTCACCTTGTATATCATTTAAAGTAGCTAGTGTAGAACTATGAGCTGGTCAAAAAAAAATTAGAAACACTTCAATTCGAGTTGTGGAGATGGAAAAAGAAAAAGGATTGTTTTTCAGCATAACTAACCTTAGAAGGTCCACTCTGAGTCGAATGATGTGGATTTCCATAATAGAATGTCATGCCTTTCTATTGCGGGGAAGAGATAGAAGAGAAATCAACGAAAGATTTCCAGCGATACAAACAAAACATATAATATGGGTGACTGGACAATTCGTCGCAGACAATTCGTCGCATGGACAATTCGTCGCATATATGGTAATTCTAATTAATCTAGAGAGAGAGCAATGAGGGAGTGCAATAATTGATATACAAAATAACAATTTATTGAAATTGAAATATATAAGAGAGAAAATTTATTGAGGGAGAAATTTCGCTAAGGGAGGAATTTTATTGAGAAAAAAATTGAACACACGAAAACGAACACATAAATACAGAAAAATTGCACACGAAAAAAATAAATACAAAAAATATTTACAACGACATATTTACAGCTAGTCCTTTCAAATACTCACCTAGATCGAGGTTTGGATAATCGTCGACCAGTCGTTTGATTCTTTCGTCCAGTTTTCGATACTTAAGTTTCTTCGGCTTGGGTTCTTGTCCTTGAGGAATTTGTGCGATGTCGACTTCGAATTTGGATTGTTCACGACGAATCTTCTCGGTTAATTTTGAAATACTTGGATGTGCAATTGCGACACGTTTCGCGAATGCATTGTGCCATCCTTCAATTGAATTGTTTGAGCGTGGAAGATTGGCAACTGTTCGATCATAAACATTCCAAAGTTCAATTAGAAAGAGCAGTTTTTTTCGACCAGTGCCTGAAATCAAAATTAATATTGAGAGGTTATTAGTGAATCAATTTACCTCTCTTCTTCGGCTCTCCTATCCATGTTTTCTTAAAATAACCAAGAAAATCATCGGCTTCATCGTCGAAATCGTCGGCAACTAAATCAAACGCCTTGATAACATCTAAAACAGGAACAAAAGCTAAAGCAATTATTTTTTTAATGCTCAAATGGAACGACTTATCCTCTTGGTATCTCTTCTTTAAACCATGGCTTTGAATTTGACGCCAAATACACTGACCAAAGTGGAACAAACAGCCTAAAAGAATAATTAACAGAAAATTATATAAGCAATTTGAAGAGAGCAATCATTCTATCTTTGTGGAGCACGTTCGGAAATAATGAGTTAATTGATTTTATTGTCGCCTCTTCGAAATCGCTTAGTACTGCTTCAGGATTGAAATCATCTTCATCCATGATACGTTGAAAAAAGTTGTCATAGTCCGTGACTTTTTTTCCAACGAGTAGACCATAAACTAGTGGAATGATTTGTGATTTGAACAATCCATGTAAAGTAAACAATTGATAGAAGTCGTCTGGACACACCTATAATAGATATGTAATTAGTTAATTGAAAGTCTTTGTTTTTTTTACCTTAAATGTTCCATCGACAAACCAATGTTTACATGTTTTCAATACTGAGAGATTCGTCGCGGTGGTAAAAATAATCAATTTCTCATCTTCGTAAAGTACGAAGTTCTCTCCACGATCTGTTTGTTTTAAATGGTCAGGTAGTTGGTTGTTGGCAGTCATTGAAGGCGCAGGACGTTGTCGACGAATAGTTCTCAAAAGTGTTTCACTTTGAGGCAGTTGATTGGCAGCATCTAAAGGAAAAGATCTCATTACAGAATGTAAAATTGTACTAGGTAATTCTTCAGTTTCAGCAGCACGTGTTTTTATTTTATTTTTGAGTTCTAATACTGGAACCAGATCTGGTGTTGGTGTATGGTGGTGCTCAGTTGGCCCAGAAACAATTGTATCCATTGCCGGATTGGTGTAACAACGACCTGATCGAAGATATATATTAGGTTTTAGATAAATATGTTACTTTATTTTACCTTTGCAATCTCTGTTCTGACATCGTAAAATCAATTTAAAGTCAGTTTTTCGTTCTAAAGTATAAATGTAACCTTCATAACCAAACATATCTTTTCCCTTTTCACTTTTAAATTTTTTAATAGTTTGTGTACTCATCGCTTTGTTGATCAGAATAGTTTAAATATTGACAAGAAATGCCTACTCTCACTGAGCAGAGTTATTTATATTTCTTTTAAAATTAATTGGTTTTTCTGATTTTTTCCAAAATACCCTTAAGTTATTAGTTTTTTTACGAGATTCATAACACAGTGTTCAAGATTTGTCGGTTTATTCAATTAACTAAACATATTCCACTTGATTCAATTATGTTAAGCGATATATCATATTCACTCTCATTAATTAACATCGCGATGAATTGTCCATGCGACGAATTGTTTCGCGACGAATTGACCTAGTGCCATAATATGATAAATGTGATGTCTAAATTCTAATTTAACATGTAAAATCAACACTATATTTAACATTGTGGTTTAATTAAATAGAATATGTATATTTATTTTGTCATTATTTTGTTTTATTTTTATGGATGTATACGTATTAAATGATTAATGAACATTCAATATACATTGATTGATGCATATTAGTTGGCATAGACAACTTTTCGAAAGAGTGAGACATTGTAACTTATGTACATCTTATACATGTGAAAAATCAAAAGTTGAATCTATTGTGTAAATACAGTCTACGACAATTGAATTTATACCCATCGAATTTTTTGTTTTTTATTAATATATGTTTTTTGTGAAACACGATCTGAAAGGAGTGTTGAAGTGTTTAGGGGTAGAAATTTGGACACGACCCACCCCACCCCGCCCGGCCCGGACGCACAAGGGG